TAGCCCAGTTCAAAACCAACCCAGAACATACAAGCTCCCCTTTTGCCTGGCCTTGTACTAGAACCAATGTCAAACAATACTCAGTCTAAATCAAACATGCTCTCTCCTTTGCCCGGCCCTTGAACTAAGAGGAACCAATGTCAAACAATACTCAGTCACACGAACTCTCTCACGTCTTCAACGATCGACTCAGTCCACGTCTCCGAACCTCATGCCGGCAGACCAACCCTCTGACAATGTACCAGTCCATATTATTGAGGCCCTGGACATTACAACCGTACTCTCAATCCCGCTCATGACAGCAACCACTACTCAACGCACATCTCTGACCTAACCATCTCTCCAATCCCGTCTGCCCTACTCACAACTCCTCCAACTCACCCTCTACAACCTGCCTTTTCTCATTACCATGCACCCTAAACTGTAATTTGTCGGCTTCGTCTTTCAGTTGGAGGCTCGATCGACCTCTCTGAACTACTTCTCTTCATCTTGCTCATCTGGGGTGGGGGCTCCTTGTCTTCATCTTCAGATTCATCCATCGCTGGGTCTCCCGGATGCCTTAGGGTTGGAGCAGCCTTTAAGTTGCTCCGGGTTTCCACTCTCGCCTCCAGGTCTTCTCCCCCACTGGGCTCAATGCGATATAACCCAGGCCTTGGATTTAGGACCTCAACAATATGCCATCTCGTATCAAACCAATGGTTTTGCAGCTTACACCGGCCTATTTTTACATTGTTCCTCAGCAAAACCTCCTGGCCCACTTCCCAGCTACTCTCATGGGCTTTCTCTTCTCTTTTCCTTCTATTTATTTCCTTACGTCTCCAAACATTGATCTCGACTGCTTCCTGCAATTTCGTTGCCGGTCTCTAATCACCATCACCCACTCATCTACCGGCTCTGGGTCTACTTCCGGCCTAAGGTCAAACGGCAGGTTTGGTTCTCTCCCGTAAAACAACATGAATGGGGAAAACCCTGTCGTGGCATGCGGAGTCGCGTTATATTGTGACACCACTGCCTGCAGATGCTCTGGCCACCTATTCTTTTCCTCTTCCTCGAGGGTGGCCAGCAGACCGTGCAGGGTTCGATTGAACCGTTCCACCATACCATTTCCCTATGGGTGATATGCTGACGTCCTTATTTTCTTCACCCGAAAGGTGGCACAAGTTTGTCGGACCAATGGACTGCCAAAATTTCTTCCCTGATCGGTCAACAGTCGCTCAGGTGCACCCACTGCCAGGAAGATCCGATTCACCAGGATCTTTGCAATCGTCGAGGCTTTCTGGTCTTTGGTGGGAAAGGCCCAAGTGTAATGACTGTATATGTCAACCATTATCAGGACACTCTCCAATCCTTGCCGCTTGTCCAGCAAGGTGAAATCTGCGGCCAGTGTCTCTAGAAATGCAGCTGGGGTTTTGTACTTCATCTTTGCTACTCCACACACCTCTCGCAGCTGGCTATGTAGTCTCGCACTGTTTCTCCATGCCTGGCCATAAACCTCGCTCCTGCACCAGCGACAGAGTGCGATCACCGCCCCTGATGCCCCAAACTCGTCGTGGCGAATGTAGTCAAAGCCTCCTGCAGAGTTGGAGATAACACTGGCACCTCCCTCCATAGATTCTTTCCTTGGGTCTTCTATGCCAGACAACCTCTTCTCACGAACAGGGATTCCTCGCTCAGTACATCTTGCGAGTCATCATTTTGGAGCTCTACCTGTACCTCGTCCTCCGAGCTCTCCCGCCAACCATCTTCGCAGTTTGTCTTATAGTTCATGCCTTCTTGCTCCTTACGCGGCCCATCCATCGTCCACAGTTCCTTCCTTTCCTCTACTACATGCATAGCTGTATACTCTTCTTCGCTATCTTCCTCCTGTTCCGTCGGGATTCTAGATAGAGTATCCGCCACAATGTTGTTCTTCCCCGGCTTGTACTCTATAGTAAAGTTAAACTGCTCGAGATCCGCATTCCACCTACTTTCCACGGCACCTAGCTTAGCCTTCTCTCGGTGACTGAGTGGGTTGTTATCTGTATAGACTGTGAAATGTTTCCCTGCCAAATAATCCCTGAATTTATCCACTACTGCCCATTTGAGTGCTAACATCTCTAACTTATGAGAACTATAGTTGTTCATGTTACGTTCTGATTTCCTCAGGCCCCGACTTGCATAGCACACCGGATGCAACCTGCCATCCTTCCGTTGGGACAGCACCGCACCTAGCCCACTAAAACTTGCATCTCTCTCTAATATAAACTCCTGAGTGAAATCTGGGCAAGCCAACACCGGTGTCTGCGTCACCCTGTCTTTCAGTTTCTCAAAAGCCTGCTGCTGTTCCTCTCCCCACTCACTATCTACCCGATCCTTAGATTTCCCATGCATCAACGCATGAAGTGGAGCAGCTATTTGGGCAAACCCTTTAACAAATTTCCTATAAAATGATGTGAACCCTACAGAAGACCGCACATCTTTCACCGTCTGAGGGACTGGCCAATCTCTTACTACCCTAATCTTCTCAGGATCAGCTGTGATGCCTTCAGCTGACACCTGATATCCTAAATAACTTACTTTTGAAGCCATTATTTCACACTTTTTAGGTTTAAATCTTAAGTTATTCTCCCTCATCCTGCAAAATAATTCCCTCAATCGGACTATATGCTGATCTATTGTACTTGAAAACACCATCACATCATCAAGGTATACAAGCAACGAGGAGAAAATCTTGTCCCCTAAAATCCGCTCCATGTATCTCTGAAAGGTTCCCAGACTATTTGACAATCCCATAGGCAGTCGCCTGTACTCAAAGTGTCCGAAGCTTGTGCTGAAGGCAGTCTTTGGACGGTCTGAAGGTTTTACTTCTATCTGGTGATATCCCGCCGCCAGATCAAACGTTGAGAAAAACTGGGCCCCCATCAGAGATTCTAGAGTTTCATTTATCCTAGGCAGAGGAAACGCATCGCGTACCGTGACCTTATTTAAGTCACGATAGTCAATGCACAACCTCAGCGTCCCGTCCTTTTTCCTCACTACTACAATGGCGGCAGAGTACGGACTCTCACTATGCTGAATTACTCCCTGATCTAACAGCTGGCTAATGTGCTGCTTCACCTCTGGTACCTGGTTTGGAGGGATCCTCCGGTATGGCACCCTAACTGGCCTGTCTGTAGTCACTGAACCCCAATAGCCTTTCCTATGGGCTGGCCCACCCCTTCAGAAATATCACTAAACTCTTCTATTAAACCCCTAACTGCACGCTCTTGTTCCTCATTCATTTCCTCCGTGTGCACTTTGACCTCCGTACGGGCATCCGGTTGAACTGTCCTCACATACACCTCCTCACTGATGTCTGCCTCAACTTCCGTCCCAGAAGCCACTTTCCCAATCCGCCAATTGCCCCTCAAGTTCTTACGACGATCAGACAGATTTGCCACCAACTCCTGGGTCATGCCTCTCACCACTCTTACAGCTGTCGGCAACACTATCACACCCTCAGGCATCCAACCTCCATCCTCCATTGTTAGAGGTTCAATCACTACTTCTTTGTTAGCTACCTGGCTTAATGAGGGAACACATACTGACAGCAACCGAGTACTCCGGGGAGGAATGGTTGGGCTTTTCTTCCTCTCTGTCATACAATACCCCAGGCTGATGGCCTCTATTGCACATAACTGCCTAACCTCATGCAAGCAATTTTCCCACTGAGCGGTGCTCCTGGCTTCCCTGCACAAGTGATACATGTGCGGCCAGATCTCCGCAACCTCCCCCAGCACATTCATCCCCAACAACCCAACATGCGATTGCCCCTTACCCTGGGTCTCAATCCCTGGACAAACCAACATCCCCACATCAGTGACTTCCACCCCACATACGACCATAGTGACCCGAATACACCCCACACACGGCACTGGAAACCCTGACGCCCTTTTACCCTTATTCGAGTGGGCTGTAACACCACGCCTGCAGGCTCCAGCTCCCGACGGTAGAAGAGTTCATCAATTAACGACACTTCTGCCCCAGTATCTGCTAAACCCCACATTTCAGGACCTGCTAACAGCACCGAAACCTTAGGACACTCTGCTTTCAGCCTTAAGGTACCTTCTGTCGTGATTAAATTTGTCATGCGGACCACGCTTGACCACGGGTCCGCTCTCTCTTGGTTCATAACATCGCCGGTGGAATCTATTGGTGAGGCCAGGAACGGTTGGCGGGGACTAGATGGCCTTGACCATTTCCCGACCGCCAGTTCCGATTGTTATTTCTAATTCGATACTGGCCATTGGCCACGTATCCCCTTGGGACACACTCTCCTGGTCCGGACCTGTTCGTGCAATTGAAACTGAGGTGGCCCTTTTGTCCACACGCATAGCACATCGGGAGAATCGAGCCTCCAGCCTGCGGTTCGTTCTCTCTTCCCTTAGTCAGCGGTACCTCCTTCAAAGCCGCTCGTTTTTGTTCCGCCTCTCTCAGCCCCGTGATCCACTCGTCTAGACTATGGTGAGGATACTTCTGGATCTCCTCCAATAACCACATACGGCTTTGTTCCTCCTTGAGCCCCCGAGTGATCGCATCTCCCAACAGGGCCTTATCATATTTATGTCCATGGTGGTTCAACTCATCGTTTAAATCGAGCATAGCATCATAATATTCAAGAAGCGTTTCGTTGCTCCGTTGTTTCCGATTCATCACCTGAATGGCGTCGTACGTGGCCGTCTGCCCGCCGTATTGCTGCTTCAAATAACAAGTTAATTCATCTACGGTTTCCCAGTCTCTGCGTGCATTGTATACGCGATCTGCCGCAGACCCTGCAAGATGCCTTATTATGAATTGGATTCGACTGACTTCGTCTCCGTGTAGCAGCTTGAGGGTTCGGTCAGCCTCTCTTAACCACTTCCCTACCTCTACTCCTGGCCTACCGTCGAACTTAGACATGGTCAACCCGGCCCCGAGACTAGTTCCCTCTCTACCATTGTGTCTCCTCATCTCCTACATTGTCTCATCGTGCTGTATTTGATACTGTGTCTTTACCCTATCTAGTGCATCCCTCAACTGAGCTAGGTGCTGTTGATGTTCCTTCTCTAACTGTTGCAATGTATTGCTTTACCGTCATTTTTGTCAGGGTTTATACACTCTCCTAGGATTTCATCAAACTCATCACTTAACTCTTTTTCTACTTCATTACCAATATCCAAGACTTTGAAACAGTGATTAGTTATATAAGGTTCTACTGCCAGCTATCTGTCATTGAAAGGTGTACCTTTATCATTTTTTTGTCTAAGACCAATATTTCTTGACAAGCAGTCAAAATTATCATTAGTTGTGATAGCTTGTCAGAAATTAGTTAAACGTCTTTTCCCAGGAGTAACTACTTGGGCCTGAACTTAAAATTCACAGCATTTGGCTGGTCGTAGGTTCCATGTATCTGTCTTATGCACCCAAACAAATGCTCCAGACAATCTTGATTTAATTTTCTAGTTCGAATGAATTAAAGATAAAAAACTTCTGGGGCATTTTGTACAACCCTATAAGTGACCGATATGATAATATTACTCCTTTCTGAAACTTGTAAAGGCCTATCAACAGTGAGTTTTTTACCCTCATTGTTGTCACTACTTCAATCATTCTGTGCAGAACATTTAATTGGTCACATAAATTAATTCCAAATGCATTAAGTGATTGATGTTCACAAAATTTATGAGAAGAATTAATAATGTCAAACCATTCGTCCACCAGATTATGAAGTCAGCAGTTTCTTCCCAATTTCTACTCTCTAGTAGTCCTCTTTCTCCAAGATATTTCAGTGAGCTAGAACATGTTTTTGACAACAATTGGACTGCATATTTAACCCGCTGTCGTTGCGGGCCCATACATTTAAATGCATTTCACTTAGTTTGTATGCTAAACCATACTGTCTTACTTGCTGACCTCATTTCCCGATTAGAGGAATCAGACATAAAGCTTCCATCCTTTAGGTAAAATCCTGAATCGTGAAAATTATTCCTAATTAATTTAATAAAATGTGGCACGTCTGCAAACACAAATATATCCCGATCAGCGCTCGGGTTTTGGAAAGATATTTCTTTCCTTCCACGGGATCAATGTCAAATTCTTCCCACAGCATCCAAAGGTTCTTGGACCCTAAGTCAGTTTGACTCGCACACAGTCAGGTCAGGGAAGGATGTTTATGGTTTGAGTCACACATAGTCAGGTCAGAGAAGGAAGGATATGGTTCAGGTGAATAAAGATGCAACAGCAAGACAGATAAGAGGGGAATACTGAACATCATTCAGGTGGACTAGAAGGTGAGTGAGCGCCGGGTGGCATATTGGTAGGTGATGGGACAGTGAGTCTTGGCAGCCGTCTCGTAGATACTGTTGCTTCCTTTCCGCACCACTTCATCGACACTGAGCTTGTTCCACACGTGTAGGGAGAAATTCTCCTTAAAATCCTGTAAATAGTACACCAAACACTGTACATTACTTGAGGACACACGCACAGAAAGGAGCAGCAAAACACAAAATTGGTGAGAAGTACATTTGTGAGGCATCTTTATTTACCCTTTCTTATATGACCAAACTTATATTAATAGTGAAATCAGAAGATAAAACAAATATTTAATGTAAATATCCCAGAGGTTAATTTTTAAGTTTAATCAACAACAAATGGTAATAAGCGGTATGTTTTTATGAAAGTTATAAAAGATCTAAGGAAGGCTCAACTCCAGCTATGATACAATGATATGAGTTATATAGGATGTCACCTTGATTGGTGAGTTCTGAGGTGACTCGAGAGGCCGATACGGGACCGGCAGAGCCGTCCACAGATGTTGCACATGTGGAGGACAACATCTAGTGAGCTTGTGTGACTCGGTTTTCAGTTGAGCAAACTCGAAGGTTTGACACCTTCTCGTGTGGTGCTCTTCCAACCGTTACGGCGTGCAGTAATCGTCTCCCAGGTAAGGGGGTCGATTTAGCACTTTTCCAGGTTTGTCATAAGATTATCCTTATACCTTTTCAGTTGCACGCCAGCGTTACGTTTACTATTCGTTAGGTGGCTGTAAAGAGGCTGTTCTGGCAGTCTACTGTCGTCTATGTGTGAAACATGGCCAGTCCAGCGTAGTTGTTCATGGATAATGGTAGCCTCGAGGTTCCCACAATTGGTATCAGCGAGAATACCGGCATTCGTTTTCTTGTCTTCCCAGCGAACTCGGAGGATGGAACATAGACTACGTTGGTGAAAATTTCAAGTGCCTTGAGGTGCCTCCTCTATATGACCCATGTCTCGCTGCCATGCAGCAAGGCGGGTAGGACCACTGCTCGATGTACATGCTGCTCTTTACATAATTTTATTTCCCTACAGCTGAAGACATGGGGACGGAGTCTGCCAAAGGCTTGAGATGCACATCTGATCCGATGTTTAATCACTTCATCAACATCTGCGGTGGTGGACAGGTGGGAGCCGAGATACTGAAAGTGAGTAACATTAGAGAGGGTAGTATCGTCAAGCTGGGTGGATGGTGGAGGTGTAGCTGAACCAGGGGCAGGCTGAAAGAGAATCTGAGTTTCATGTGCATTCACCCCCAAAGCCGAAATGTGCATAGGAATCTGTGTAGGTGTTCAGAATCTCCTGTAGGTCACGTTCAGTGTGAGCGTCCAACACTTTTATTCTTGCCCTGAGTCGTCTTTTGTTGAAAAGTCCCTTCATCCGGTACTGGGTGTCCACCCCGCTGGCTAAATTGGCACTGGCACGAGTAACGAAGGCAGCCAAGAAAATGGAAAAGAGAGTTGGTAAAAGTACACATCCTTGTTTAACCCCTGTTTGGATGTGGAAGAACCCCGACTTGGTGCCATTGTGTGGGACACTGCTGTTCATGTCATCGTGCAGTTACCTCACAATGGCAATGAATTTTGGTGGGCAACCAAAACGACTGAGGGCTTTCCTTCTTGACTGAGTCAAAGGATTAGTAAGGTTAATGAAGGCCATGAGATTCTGAGAGGAATTTTTCCGCCTCAGGAACAAGTCTGTTTTGGAGGAATTGGCCAATAATCTTGCCAGCTATGGACAGCAGTGAGGTCCTGCGGTAGTTGCCACAGTTTGACCGGTCTCTCTAATTCTTGGGGATTTCCTCCTTTTCCCATATATTCTCCAGGAAAGAGTGGACACGGCTGATAAGCAGAGGTCCTGCTGCTTATTTACCTCGGCTGGGATTCCATCAGGCCCTCTGGCTTTGTCGTTTTTCATCCGTTTGATGGCAGTAGCTACCTCATCCAGGGATGAGGTGGGTCAGCTCTGGGTGCTGAGGGACCTGCTGGGTGGACAGGACAATCAAATCAGTGTTTTGGTTGAGCAGCGAATGGTAGTGCTCTTTCCAGCACTGAAGGATGCCGTCTTCGTCTTTAAATAGGGAGCTACCATGGGATAAGAGGGGACCACTCCATGAGTAGTTAGGCCATATATTGTTTATGAAGAATTGAATAATTCATGCTTCTACAAATTTTTGCGTTTCACACGCTATATTTTTGCACCATTCGTTCATAAGTTTGCGAAGTTGGCGCTGGGCTGCCACTTTCTCCTTGTGCAAGGTATCAGCTTTGGTCCGATACTGAAGGTTGTTCTACCAGTCAGTTAGAGCAGCATGTTTATTATCCACGAGTACGTTGATTTCTGGCTCATTTTCATTAAACCATTCCTGGTGTATTCTTTTGATCTGGCCGAGCATTTTCTGGAGTCTTGTTGCCTTCGCCATTTTGGGACGACGTGAAGAGAGAGTTTGGCTCTAACGAGCCGATGATCTGTATCACAGTGGTCTGAGCAACGCATAGCTCGGGTGATGAGGAAATATTGGCAATCTCTTTCTCTTACAATGATGTAATCATGAGATGCCAATGTTAGGATCAAGAGTGTTGCCAAGCAAGAACCTTTGAACTTGTCGGTCTGCTTAAACAAGGTGTTGGTGATAGTAAGGTTGTGTTCTCCTTATAGTTCACTGCCATATGTCAGCATCTCTGCCAACATTGGAGGGGTTAGCAATCGGCTAAAGTCGGCATAAAAGTCCTTCTTGGAGTCATCCTCTGCATCCAGTGTTGGGGCGTATGCTCTGATGAGGGATGACGTGAGAGATTTAGTGGGATTCAGAGCGTCATGAAGCGCTCGTTGATCCCAGCAGGCAATTTAGTTTACCTAGGTAGGATGTACTGGCGAATGGCAAAGCCAAATCCATACTCGTAAATGCGGTTTCTCTCCGCAACAGGTTTACACTTCCAGAAGAAGGTATGGCAGGACTCCCGTTCTGTGAGTCGACCCTTGTCTGCGAGCCGGGACTCACTATTGGCTGCTTTGTCGATATTATACCTAGCCAGCTCTTTTACCACAAGGGCAGTTCTTCTTCGAGGACGCTCATTTGTGCCAGTGCTTAGAGGGGTCCTGGCATTCCATGCAGCGACCATAAGAGGTTGTATAGTATTTTTTCTCTGATCTGTGATTATAATTTTGTTTTCAACCGCGTAAAGATGATCTTACTGGGAGCGGTTGCCCAGTCAGGTTGTTTTTTTAGGCAAACTATGTTTAGGGCACCTTTTCTAGTCCCTTTCCCATGTGGGGTGAGCAGAGAGGCTGCTCAGTCGCACAAACAGGACCGGAGTGCATAAACGACCACCTTATCTGTGACGCCCATGTGCAGAGTTGTCACTAGAGACTCACGGCAGTCATCTCTGCCTGTACCCGTCGCCACTCGTCTGTCGCAATAGGACTTTTGAGGATATAAGGGTTTTGTTGATGATGAGAGGTATGATGAACTAGATGATGGCTGTGCATGATTTGATTTATGTGGTGAGGCAGGAGCGCAGGCTGCAACCACACATCTTGGCTCTCCCTTTTTCAGATCCAATGGTGCAGGTAGTTGTAACGACTGGGGAGAGGGAGAGTTACAATGGACCGCTTTAGTAGCCTGTTCATCTTGCATTGTCTTCATCCGCCTGTCTATTCGTTGGGTTCCCATGTTGGTCACCTCTTCCGCCTATTCAGCCGCTGGGGTCTTGCTGGAGCTCTGTAAGCATGTCTGTCTGATGCGGGGCTCCACGGCAGATTTTTCGTTCGGGGTTTACTCACGTAACCTTATACCTACCAAGGTTTATCTGCAAGGCAGCGAGGCAGTGGTTGGTAGGCACCAGGGCGTGTCCACATGCCGGTAGACCTATGCGCCATCCCTCTGGGGCCCACTGCTACTCCGAGATCCTCTGCTGCTCTAGTCTGGGGCCGCGAGGCACCCAGTTACCGTGTGTTACCGCGAGGAGGCACAGCAGGAGTCTTAATGGTGAAGAGGCTGTGTAGTGGCAGGGGAAGACTTACGTAAGATTGCTTCCCTGTTCACAACGAGGGCTAGCCAGAGGCGGTAGTTGAAAGCAAGAGGAAGCAAGCAGTGCCTGCACCTTAACATTAACATAATGCTGCCACACTAAACGCATTATATATCACACACACACACACACACACACATGCACACTCACCTCAGTGAAGTTCTTCCCCTTCCCGGGCTCCATATATTTCTTGTAGTTCTGCCAAATTATAGGATAAAACTGCTTTGGTGGGAGAAGTGATACGTCACCGCATGTCAAGGGAAGCTTAGGATGTAGTTTTCTTAAATCCTTGACCTTACACTCCGCCTTCAGGACCTCGGACAAGGATTTTGGACCCATACTTCCCCAAACGCCCGGCTGCAAGACATTAGTGCAGGATTAAACTTAATGGAAACCGACTTTAACTTTAATTTGTTAAAAAGGCTGCTGAAATTATGTACATGGAATTGAATTGAATTGAATTGAATTGAAACAGTTTATTTAGCCAGAAAAACACAGATACAGAGTGGAAAATAATAACAATATTAACATGGCTGAGCCAGTTGAGAACCTGAGCTCTCTTGTAGGCACCTGATATATACTGTACATTTATCTCACGGAAGTATTATGTCTAGTTGGCACTTATGTTTATTGCAATGGTAATTACTTATCCATTTACATGATAATTTCCGATAAAACGGTTTTGATGGTTCAATAAAAGCAGGTACTGAAATATAGTAGGTATTACAAGAAATATTAATACTTAGACAATAAATATTTTTTTAAGAGATGATTTAAAGGAAGGGAGCGTAGTCTATGTTGGGATGGGTGGGGGTAAGTTGTTCCACACCTTCACACCGCAATATTTTATGGAGGTTTGGGACTGAGAGGAGCACATGAGAGGTGGTCTTAGTAGCTCTGGATGCCTTAAGTTGTATCTCTGATTATTCCGGAACTGGAAATAATTATTGTCAAGCAAGTGATTGATCGATTTGTAAACAAAGAGGGCACAGCAGTAAGTGTTAATATCTTCGAATTATAATATTTTTAATATAGCAAATTTTTCGTTTGTGTGATCTGTTTTTTTTTCAAGTAGGTCATTGTCCGTACAACTCTCTTTTATGCAGTAACCAGAGATTGTGTTTTTGAAGAGCCAGAGGCCCCCCCATAGTGTGTGACAGTGTATCAAGTGTTGGTAAACAAGATCATGATAGATTTCTTTCACTGCTGTGAGAGTGAGTGACTGTCGAGTGTGATACATTATACTGCACTGTTTATTGACTTTACTGTGAATGGTTTGTATGTGATTTCTCCAGTTAAGTTTCTCCGAGGAATTTAGTATTTTGTTCGCGTTTGAGGACTATATTACCAAGGTACAGGGGGTCCAAGTCTGGGGGTAAGTTTTTCCTTCTGTGAAAGATCGTGTAGTGGGTTTTCTCAAGGTTTAAGGTCAGTTTATTCCGTATTACCCAGGTCCTGACTTTAGTCAATTCAGTGTTCATAAAACAAGTTGTATTTTATGAGTGTGCGGGTGTGGATTATGTCGTTTATGTACAACAAAAACAGTACTGGACCGAGAATGGAACCTTGGAGGACGCCATACAAGATTGGCGAGGAGTCAGATTGGTGATTATTATAGCAGACATACTGCATCCTCTTGGACAGATACGAGGTAAACCAATTGTGGGACAGGCCCCTAACGCCGTAATGTTCAAGCTTTGAAAGGAGGATGATATGGTCGACAGTATCGAAGGCGTTAGAGAGGTCCAAGAATATACTGACTGTGAACTGACTGTCATCAAAGGAATTTAAGATGTCATTAGTAAAGAATAGCAGCGCACTCTCAGTCGACCTTCTAGCTCTAATTCCAAACTGGGAGTCTGTAAAGATGTCATTGGCATTGCAAAAGGAATTTAGTCTATTACATGCTAGCTTTTCCTGTATCTTACTCAAGGCTGGGAGGACTGATATGGGGCGGTAATTCTTGAAGAGACCTTTGTTACCAGATTTTTTATATGCTGGGTGAACTTTTGCAATTTTCAATTTATCCGGAAAGACACCACTAGTGAAGGAGGAGTTACAAATGTGTAGGAGAACAGGTAGTAATAAGTGGGCCACTTTCTTAATGATGCTCATTGGTATATTGTCTTGGCCTGCTGCTGCATCTTTGGACATTTTTATGATGACCAGTAATTCATCTGCTGTGACAGGGGATAAGAACGGCTCATTTAGCTGTCTGTTTTGCAGGTAGGCTCTAAATTCCTCATGGTGATCAGGGATGCTCTCTGCAAGATTTTTGCCAACATATTAAAATATTCATTGAAGTGATTGGCAATGAGGGAGTGTTCCGTTATAACTGAATCATTTATCATAAAAGCTGAGTGGGGGGCCGAAGGCTGAGTGTTCCTGTTCTGAATAGAATTTATGACATACCAGGTTTTCTTACAGTCACCTGATGCTGACTGGAGCTTGTTTGTATAATAGTTACGTCTGGCATTTCTAACTGCTTGAGTTACTCTATTTCTGATACTTTGGTAAGCATCACCGAAAGTTATGGGTCTTTTTTGCAAATTTCCTTTGGAGTTTGTGTTTTTCTTTTATCATTATCTTAATTTCGCTTGTGATATAGGGTTTGGAAATGGATTCAGTTTTCACTGACTTAGTCTTGAGCGGGAAGCATTTATCAAAGCAAGCATTGAAGATGCAAGAGAAGTTGCAGCTGTTCACGTTAGGGTTGTCGGAGGCATAGACAAGATCCCAGTTAGCATTCATTAGGTTGTTTTCAAAAAGGAGCATGTTGTCGGTGCAGTAGTCTCTGTATTGTATTGAGACTCTACTAGGCCTTTCAGGTCTTGTGGCTGTTTTATACAAGGCAAAAACTGAGAAGTGATCTGAGATATTGTTATAAATAATTCCACTTGCAAGATTGTTAGGAGTGTTGTTAGTCCCGATATGATCTATCACAGTGGTAGAGGTGGCAGTTACTCTAGTGGGTTTGGTTATAGTGTTGAAGAAGAGTTTACAATGACAGGTAGCAAGAAGGTCTAATACTGGGGTGTCGGTTTCTCATTTTAAAAGATCAAGGTTGAAATCTCATGTAATGTAGCAAAATTTCCTCTCTGAGCTTATGATAGAGATAAGCTCGGAAAATTTATCAAGAAAATTCGTTACATTAGTGTGGGGTCTTCTGTCGATTATTCCTACTAGGATATTTCGTGTGTCGTTACGTAATTCAATGAAAACACTCTCCATGTACTCCTCTTGTACCTCTAAATCATCTCTTACAGAAGTGTTATACTTGATATCAACATATAGTGCGATACCACCACTGTGTCGTGACGTGTTGACGCAGTGTCTATTATAATTAGGAATGTTATACAAATGGTCAATATCGTTAGTGAGTTTGGTTTCACAGAACCCAAGTACATCAAATTTGTTGGCAATAGAAGATAAACACTGACATTAAAAGGTATCTAGATGAAGGGGAATACTGCTGATGTTATGGCTAATCAAGGAGAAGAAATGAGGTAGTAGGAGACTAGAACTAAACTCGGGGGAGTTAGGAAAGTAATAGTTACAGTTGGGGTTGGTGTAACCCAGTGAGTTTTGTAGAAAGGCATCAGGATCGATATGAGGGAGTATTGTGTCGACACCATGGGTAAAGGGGATGTAACACATACTATCTAGCACATCTAAGGGAATGACACTAGCATCATCATTGTGGGAACATTGCTACTGATTAAGGAACAGCAAAATTTCAGGGTCACTGAGGTGTGAAAAAGGAAGATCTATGAAAATTATAATAGTGGGGGTTAACGTACTCACAAATGCTACAACCAACATGACATAGACTAACGCATAGGTCGGAAGCGTGGACACTTTCAGCAAACACCAGAAAGAGGTTAGAGGCCTTAGAAATGTAGTGTTATAGGTGAATGCGAAAAATAAGCTACACTGACAAAAAAAAAACTCAAGAGAAATACTTGAAATGTACAGAAAAAGAAAAATGAGATACTTTGGTCATATAATTAGGAATGAGGGAATAATAAAAGAAATATTAAAGAGCAAAGTTGAGGGTAGGAGGGCCAGGAGGAGACAGAGACTGGGGTGGGTGAATGAAGTAAACAACTGGGTCCCCAGAGAGATACAAAACCTTAGAGGATTGATAAAAACAGCCTGAGAACGATTAGGTGAAGGACTGTGGTCACCAACCCTCAGATATAAGGACGGTCCTCTGATTAATTGATTGAGACTGCAGCAAAAATGAAACACAAAGATATGACTACCCGTTATATACAGTGATGATACAACACACTGTATACTAAGCCTTCGGTACACAAGGAGGTAGCATGGCCGGTACTGCACTCCACCGCCTTCACTTTTCTAGGTTGTAAACTTAGGTACCCATTCACAGCTGGGTGAACTGAGAGTACCCGGCGATCGTATCACCGGCCCCTGTATAAATACAGTAGGAAAATATTGTTTTCGATGTGAGGTACAAGGCTATACTGTAGTAATGCATTGATAATACAGATATGCATTAACGTCGAACCTCTCTCAAACACACACACACACTCACACACACATTCACACACACACACAGTGACATAAGATCTCTGATAGATTACCACGCACCAGCCCTGGTCCTTCGTGACGGGAAAGGCGTTGACAAGCTCGAGAAAATGCAAAATAAAGCCCTCAGAATTATCCTAGGATGTCCCATGAGCACTAAAGTACTTAATATGAGGAAAGAACTAGGTATATCCAGTGTTAAAGACAGAATAATTGAAGTGAACCTCATGATAGCCCTGAGGCTTCTGCGTGGTGATCCTGATAACATTGTTTCCTTAAAATTGCTAGAATGTATGAACCATGGGACTACTGAGTCTAAATGGATCCAAACTACAGTTACACATATGAAGATGTTTGAACTAGACAACCTGTACAAAGTTGAGACACAACATTTCTTCCTTCCACCCTGGCGGACAGTTTCCTTCGATATCACAATACCGACATATCCACCTAAAGATTAATATACAAAGTATTTATCTCCAACACACTGCCAAACTGAGAGCTCTTGAACTCATACACACTCTACAGACTGATGATAATATCACACAGACCATCTACACTGGTGGATCTCTTAACACCGCCTGTGGGAGGGCTGGAAGTGCTATTGTTGTGACTCAACCTGACGGTAATATAATTGAGAAAGGGGTTAGAATTAACAACTGGGCATCCACTCTACAAACTGAAATAGTTGCCATACTCACAGCTATAAAATTCATTGAAACCACTGTCACTGACAGTCTCATCATCACTGACTCTCTATCCTCACTACTTGGCCTTGACACCCTCGACTCAGGTTGTCACGCTCT